GGACCACAAGAAAGGCCCGTGCCTGGACGGCCCCATGGAAAGGATTGCTGATTCCCTTCTCCTTCGTGCCAAGGCATCGTCCAGGAATGTGCAGGACCTCACACTGCCCCTTCTGACCTTGCCCAACAGATCCGCCCCGGTGCAATCTCGGAGCCAGATCTGCCTGGCTTGCACGACAGGTCCTCGCATTACTAGAGAACCAGCGCAAGCTTGCAGCTGGCCTCTCTGACAAACGCTGCTGTGCAGACACCTCCGCCGCGCGCGCGCGCCACGGGTCAAGCTGAACGTCTTCGCTGCTACTGACTTTGCTGCCTCGGAGGTTGCGAGCGCCGCTTCCTGGCAGCGCAGCTCGAAAATAGCTGGCTGAGGCAGCAAATTGAATGCAGTATCACTTCTGGTGAGTTCGGCTCTGCCTCCACTCCACAGGCTGTGCACAGTTCGGCCAAAGCCTCCAAGGCGGAACTAGACGGCCGTGCTGGCCGAAGTTGACGCACTGCTTATGAAGAGGGACTTTACCAAACCGCGGGGGAAGTGGCACTGGTGCGATAGCAGAGAGATCCGGCTCGACGACCTGTGAAAGAAAGTCCCTGCCTTAACCGCAGCCCTCGTCTTGTCGTTCGCTGGCTCCTGGGGTGTGCTCGCGGTCGCAGTCCGAGTGTCCCCGACTCCCCGATGACTCTGCCCAACTTCGGGAACACTGCCGCATGCTGCAGCTCTCAACAGTTCATGTCAGCATTTCTCTGCATTTCTCTGGCCCTCCACTCTGCAGCACAGGCCTTGCTCTCTGCGATCTCTGCGGGCACTGCCTCGAGTCGCTTTCAGGTTGGAGCGTTTGGCTGGGGCCGACAGGAAACTCCGCGGCGCTCAGGGCAGGACTGGCCACAGCAGCAGCTGAATCAACGGGACCAGGATTCCGGACAAGCGCTCCTTCCGCATCTTCTGAAAGAACTTGGCCAGTGAGCCTCACAGAATTTGCAACTTGCGTCCCTGTGCATCTCTGTGCATGGGATCTCAGAGGAGAGCGGACAGCCAGAACGGCAGCAAGCTGGTCCGGTGGATCCTCGGCATGCAAGCTGCTAGCGCGTGAGCGCGTTAAGCCGAACCTGATGAGCTTGGCCTCTTCGGCAGCGCAGGCGCTCTCACTCTCCTCTTCCGCCGCCTCGTGACTATGACCCTACTTGCAGTGCCCGGCGCTGGATGGAGAACGCTGGTCCTGCATGGCGTCGATACGCTCCGGCGATGGCACGGGCCTCTGGCACACGCCATGACACGCCGTCACGGGGCGAGCACGTACACATCACAGAAACAGCGGAACGACAAGGCAGCCGCCCGTCGTTCTCGACATCAATCATGAGTATCTCCGCAGCACGCAACAACACCACATTGTGACCTGACACCACCCAAGACAAGCGCAAGCACGCGCAAGCATGTCAGATGCCTCCCAGATGCTCTTGGGTCTGTTCACGTACCTGTGGCGCTCTGCCTGGCTCACGCAGCTATTGCAACATCCCCACCCCAACATACCCGAACCAGACGGGTGCTGCCAGCACGTGCAGTTGGGAGAGCAGCGGCCCGCAGACGATGACCTCTGCTATGGCCTGACATGCGCAAAGCACACCTCCAAACGCTGACACGCCGCGGGACTTGCCTGCGTTACTGCAGGCTGCCCAATAGACAGGAGGTCGACCAGGAAGTCCAGTGCGTCCTGAGCAGCTCGAAAATAATATGAAGCGCGAGCTCTGGCATCACAAGCCGGAAAGGGAGGCTCCTCCTCCTTTGCCATCGCAGCTTGCAGGGCACTGCACTGCTTGTGCTGCATGGCTGTTAGCATCTGCGCCTCGGTTTTGTCGACATGCTGTCCGCACACTCCCTCATCGCAGGAACCTCCGATAATGCGAGCCAGGCCGCCCAAGCGCCATGCAGCCTTTCGGCCAGTTTTGGCAGCAACGTGCTGCTCAACACCTGCTGCATGGCACGACCAGCACGACAAATTCGAGGAGCGCCAAGCTGCAGC